TGTTACGACACAAGCCTAAACTGATTTGGTTTCTTAAACTAATATTTCTCGTTTAAATGTTTGGAAAATTCAATGGTTTTGGATGAGTGATAGAAATCAATCAAAATAACAACTAAATTGCTCATCTATTCCTTTAACATCTTAACAGATTTTTTTTTGTTTAGGGGAATTTGTGTTAAAAATGTGATTATTATAGGGATAATCTTAATCCAAAGAAAAGAAAAACATTCAAGGTGATTCTGTGGGAGGAGCTCACCATTAGGGTGATGTCAAAGAGGCCAGTTTATACAGGTATAAATAATTGGTTCTTTAATGAACCAATACAGTCAAAAAGTTACAATTTATTGCAGAAGATTTTCAAATTGAAATTATATGGAGCTAAAATAGGGCCATTACATTTGCTAAAAAAAATGCTCAAAAAAAAGACATGAAACCTAAAAAATATATATTATACCTAAAAGAAAAAAGTGTGTTTGAAAAGAAAATACCTGAAAAAAGGTTTGTTCAAAAGACAAACAACTTTTTAGATTCAATTTTTTTTTCTGTAAAATGTTCAAATTCCTACCGAACTTTCAACCTTTTTTCCTGCTTCAAAGTTATGGTCTTGTTTTGGCGTAGATAGCGTGGACTCAGATGAAGGGGTTGGGGAATCATGACTAGCGAATTCCCATGTGCTCAACGTAAAGCTGAAGAACCGCCAGACTGAGGAGGTACGCCTATCTGCACAAAAACCTAGACCCAGCAACCCACAGCCTCTGCCCATAGCTCTGGTAGACTTTCAGAATCTACTCTTTTCCTGCTGTTCGCCTTCTTTGCTCCAGAGCAGGGCTTTGGTGCCGCAACTCTGTGCCGCTCTGGCACACTCCACTCTGAGATCCATAAAGTCAATCAATCAGTCAATCAATACCAAGGTTTTGGAGGAGAATTGGTAGATTGCAGCAGGATTGTAGATTCAGGCTGAGAGTGCTTATAGAGCTGGCAGAGTAGACTGTACCCCACCTGGAGCAAAGAGAGACAACAGAGAGCTCTGGAGGTCAGGCAGAGTAAAGCAGAGCAGTGGAGATGTCAACTCTGGGAGAAACGCAAGGACGAATAATGACTGCATTAACAATCCTTTTATGGGCTAAATTAAAAAAATAAATAAAAATTTTCTCCACTGCACTTTTTCTTAGTTTTTTTGTTTATTTTTGTAATAATGAACTGTTAAAAAAAAACAAAACAAAAAAAACATAATCTTTAAAAATGTGAAGTACCATGGACAAGTTTTTTTTATTATTATGTTTTAACAAGAATAACCAATTAATATTTTGGGGAAATTTTCAACACAGACTTAAAACCCTGTACAACTCTGGCATGATTCGATTTTATCATTTAAGATTTGGGTTGTGTACTCATATAAGGTGCTTTTACCATTGAAGCATTTTATTTATCAAAACCAGTCGCATATACATAGAATATTGACAATGTTTCAAAGACATTTCCGGTTCTCAGGGTCTCTGTATGCAACAGCTGAAAATAGATTGATCAGCAATTGTAATGAGCTTCCTAATTCCACACCCCATTATCATTTGTTTTGACTCATCAGAGCCAACACAGGGCGAGTGTGAAGGAAGCTGAGAAACTTCTGCAGTTGGAGGTAAAAAAAAAAAAAAAAATACAATCTGAAAAGTATTTTTTTTTTTTTCAGGTTTCTTTTTTTTTGGTTTTTTTTTTTTTTTTTTTTTTTTTTTTTTTTTTTACCTTTTTATGGTTAAATGTTTCTCTTTTTCATGCGTTTCTGTTTATTTCTGATTTATATTCTTTTTATCTTTATTACATACTTTATGGCCCCAATTCAGCTAAAAAAATTCCCTTTACATTACTATTTTTAAGAGGCACTAAATATGTAGAAAATGTGATGAAAGAAACATAAAATGTCAATTTTCAAGCATAAAATATAGAGGTTTCCAATCTGATATTTAGAACGCAACATGAACTGACATCTGTAGGTTAATTAGTCAGGCTATCAGTTCAGGTATGATGATTAACAAGCATGTTACTTGTATTTTTCAAAGAGCATTTTTGAACAGCTTTAACAGTAAGAGTAATGGTGATAATGTCAGTGTGATAATGTTTAGTTTCCTATCAATAAGCACATTTTTCACAACTGGGAATACTGCTCAGAACCAAAACTACCCTAAGTTAAAAATACACTCTAGTCTGGGGTTCTTCTGGACCTCCTGCCCAGCAGGTTTTAGGAGTTTTCCTGCCTCCAAACACCTGACCTGAATACATAGATGATTTACAGGCTTCTGCAGATCCCTGCAGAGCAACTAATAAATCACTTGATTAAGGTGTGCTGATAAAGAACACACATAATACATAAAGTGACTCTTTTTCTAAATAAAAATGATTTTACCTTTATTACAGATTTGTTTCCAAAACTGTGCCCCCACCAAACTGGACATGGTTTAATGTAATGAATAATAAAATATATACTGAATGAAAACCTTCCCTTTAGCAGGTTTACAACATTTAGATAAGGACTCCGACCCCACAAAAAAATGTTAATAATTTCTTCTTAAAATAAGTGTTTTGTTTTTTTTTCCTTTAATTGAGGACATAAGTGAAATAGTTTGCTAATGGAACAAGAAATGTTTTGTTTAAAATTAGAAAATACTTATTTCATTGGCAAATCATTTTATATACTTAATTAAATTAAGGGTGGATATGGAGATGTTTCCATTAAATTATTATAAATGTACTTTAACTTGAGACGTTTTTTAACAAATTGCATGTAATATCAGTTTTTTTAGATTTGTTTTGTTTTTTTCACTAATCAGAAAAATACTTCATTAGCAGCTCCACCTAAAAGCTTCTTTCTTCTGCCAACCAACATGTTTTATAAAATATGTGAAGAGAAACAAAGTCAGCAGACACATGTGACTTTACTAAAACTCTCCTACCATGAGCTTAGCTAACAAGTTCAACTTAGCCAATTCCACGTTAGCTTATCAGCTAGCCACGGCTAATTTACTAGATAAACCGCGTCAACTTTTGAACAGCTTCTTTATTTTTTTGTTTTTTCTCGACCCCTGCTGTAGAAAACAAAATATCTTCGGTGAATTGATGTCAGTCGTTTCTTCTGCATAACTTACCATGGCTTCGTTCAGCTGGAAAAACACCAATAAACCAGTGAAGTGTAACGGAGACCTTCTACCAGATCCCACCGCTTCATCATCCTCAGTCTGTCGGTTCGGTTTTTATCAGCTGCAGGTCCAAAGGGCGCCGAGCCTTTTCCAAGAAGCCTTGAGGAGCTCATGACCTCCTTCCTCCAACACAGACAGCCCTGTTTCCCTGCTGCTGAGCAGCTGGTTCCCCCTTCAGACCACAACCCAGCAGCAGCAGGATCGAGTTAAACTCCAGAAAACAGTCCAGCAACAAGTAGTTTCTGATTTTATTCAGCTTAATAACATCCATCCCACTCCATTTAAACCAGAATAAATCTGAGCAACCTCACCTTGATAGGTTTATTTGAGAACCAGAACTACTTTTAAATATTTCACATCTAATTTCTAAACCTTGTACATTTTCTTTTTTACCCAAAGCGCATTTCTAAGATTAAATAAATATTGTCCTAGAAGGAACTATCTGGGTTCGATTCCCTGCCCGGGAATTTGCATGTTCTCACTGTGCATGCGTTCTCTCCAGGTACTCCGGCTTCCTCCCCCAGTCCAAAAACATGGCTGTTAGGTTAATTGGTTTCTCTAAATTCTCCTTAGGTGTGAGTGTGAATGGTTGTTTTTCCTGTTTGTCTCTGTGTTGCCCTGTGATGAAAAAACGATCTAGAAATAAGTAAAAAAAATTATCTTAAATTAAGTGTATTTACCCTTAATTTGAGTGGGTAAATGAGATAGTTTGCCATTGGAATGAGTATTTTTACTCTTAAAATAAGATAATTAGATAATATGCACTTGAAATAAGACAATGCAGTTGTGATTTCTTATTTTATGTGTAAATTGTCTTGTTCCACTGGCAATTTTTTTCTTTTACCTCCTTAATTCAAGAAGAAATGCACTTATTTTAAGAAAAAATGACATGATGTGAGGTGGACCTGTCCAGGGTGGACCCCGCCTCTCACCCGTAGACAGCTGGAGATAGGCACCAGCACCCCTCACGATCCCGCTTGGGATAAGCATGACAGAAAACAAAAAAACGGATGTCCTAGAAGGATTTTGAAGAACTCATCCATGCATTCATCTTTAGTCGATTCTTTACAAATTTCCCTAAATGCTTTCAGTTAATCCAGGATGCTGCTGCCAGTGTCCTCACTTAAACTAAGAAAAACAAGCACATCCCCCCAGTTCTAAGGTCTTGCTCTGCTCTATTAACAGACTTGGTAGTTTATAAATCACTGGGAGCCAAATACATTATAGATTTGTTGTCACAGCATAAACTTTCAGACCTCTCATGTCTTCTGGCTCTGGTCTGCTGCATGAAAGCTATGTTGCTCTTGTTTGATCCATTGGTTGTTTGTTACTGACACAAATGTGGTCTGGTGCATTTAATAATAGTAGTTATTGAACTTTATTGATCTCACATTGGAGATATTTACCTCTGCATTTAACCCATCCCCTTGGGGAGCAGTGGGCTGCCATTGTGTGGCACCCAGGGAGCAATGGAGGGTCTTGCTTAGGAACTCAGAGTGGAGGCTGTGGGGATCAAACCAGGTACTTGCAACCCAGCCAACACTCCCCCCATTTTGTGTTTGAGTTAAGATGAGTTCTTGTCTGAGATCTAAATGTGCAATATTTTTTAATGCTTATACTTTTAAATTATGCTAGCTTCTTTATCTAATTTCTTAAATCACATTTAATTTCTTAGTAATTTCTTCTACAGGGGAAACAATAATAAGATATATTGTGTTTACCCAGAACATAAAAGAGAACCAACATTTGTTTTTAAATCAAAGTTAAAAAGCCATTTGGAGAATAGAATTCAACTTTATTAGAATTGTGTAAAGTTGCCCTTGACTGTTCTAAATATGTTTATTTCTTTTTTTAGGCAGCCTAAACTCTAGTTTTTCATTCTTTTTCCTACTGATTTCATAGCTTTTATCTCTCTTTTGAGAGAGATACATTTGATCACTGCTGCACTTTAAGGAATGGAAATATGATAGCTGTACAAAACAAAATTTTGTTTTCTGCACACTATGTGTACGAAAGGACAATAAAAGCTTTCTAACTCTTTTCTAGTTACTCTTTAGTAAGTAAAATGTATTCATATAGCACATTTCAGCAGCAGGCAATTCAAAGTGTGTTACATTATAAAAGCATCAGAACATTCAAATCATTAAAATATTAATCAAGTACATTGGCGTACACAGACTTTTTAATAGGTAGGGGTAAAAGAAGAAAAGGAAAAAGGGTGAAACATAGTGCATCCTCACCACTGTAGGGGGAACTTTAGCTCACATTTGTGAATTATTCATGTTTTATTTCCCTGCCATTACTCTATTCTAAAATACTTTGAATTGTCCTTCTACTGAAATATGCTAAAGAAATAAATCCCTCTCGTCTCACCTTTAACTTCCCAGACTTTTTAAAGGCTTAAGAGTTCTCGCCTTTCCAGAATACCAGGTGCAAAAAAAAGATTTATGCAGCAGCTGGGCTTTAAGACTATCTGCAGATACTCTACCAGAAAAGACAAAAAGAAATGAACAAAAATGGACATGTATTTGGAACTGAAAAATACTGGAAAGTCATTTGCAAAGTAACACTGCAGTGGGTTAAAGAACCAACTTGAAATCATCAGTTATTAAAAGCGGTATGTGACACCCATCTTGATGAAACCTGGTAGGTTGAAGAAAAGTCTCCCCAACCAACGTTTCCTCCGGTTCTGATGCAGATTTGCAGCATGTTTGAATGAAACGTCCCCCGTGGCGTTTACAAGCCTGCTGAACTTAGAATCTTCAGAAAGGCCAAGAGCTGATCCAAAAAGCATCAGTGAGATCTTAGATCATATCGCAAAAGACTGCTAAACAGCATGATGCTTTGCTCAGGTAAATAAAGCCTTAAAGTGTCCATCATCTTCAGCTCTCCATTGCATCTGCAGACGTGGTATTGTCTTTGGACTTGTCTTTCATTTGGGACTGGTCACTAGTATGTTCTAGCAGTGAAAGGTCAAGTTCAGGTAAGGGGACCCTCCAGTACTGAAAAGAGTTATAAGTGTCATCTTCAGAGGAGTCCTTGTCTGTCTGAAAAGAAGAAAAAAAAGGGCAAGTGAGCATCCAGAAAACCCCTGTATTTACAAGTATTTAGTAAAAGCCAATAAGGAAGCAAATCTGATTGATCGAAATTTCTTTAAATAAGATTAGCTATGTTACTTTCACTCAACGGTTGAACTTGAAAGGACTTTTAATCGATTCAACGTAAGATTTAATTTCATATTTCCGATTGTGTAACAGCAAATAAATAAATTTTTTTCCAAGAAATAATTAATGCACAGAAAATCCTATTTATAATACAGAATCATGGTACTGTGCAGTATATCCACTCAATACCTGATTTGCTCTCCTGTTTGCATGAGCTGTTGTTTCAGTGCAGACTGAATTGAAGGTGATTAGCCTGTGATGCTACTGAGAAGTTCAGGAGGCCCAGGCAGTAAATCTCAGTTAATCTTCTTTCTTAGCGCTGGTAACTGTCATGTTACACTTAACAATCCATGTCTCTTTAAGGGTTTGGTTCAAGTGGCAAATAGTGAAACTATAGTCATTTAACCTGATTTTGGTGCAGAATGAGTGTCTTCCTACAGTTTTCTGGTAAACTTCTTTCCCAGCTTTTATTTTTACTGTCATTACTTAATGAACTCTCTGCATTTAACCCATCTCCTTGGGGAGCAGTGGGCTGCCATTGTGCAGCGCCCAGGGAGCAGTGTGGGGTTAAGGGTCTTTTGCTCAGAAAGCCAGAGTGGCAGTCTGTGGGAGTGGGGCTTGAGCTCAGAACATCAGGATTCCAAGCAACGCCCTAACAACTAGGCCGCCGTTCCCCATCGATCACTTCTGCATCAGCTTTGAGCTTGATAAAAAGCAGTGGACCAACACTGCCAGAGGATCTTTAGCATCACTAACTGTAGAAACAAAAGGTGTCGCGGTGCAACGTTTTCATTTCCAGGACAATACCAACATTGCAGCTTTGAGAATGGGCCGATACCGATATCAACTCAATACAATATTAGATTTCATTACTAATTTTATACTGTAGAATGTTAGAAAAGACTTGATCAAGTAATATTACTAAAATGGAAAAAAGGCAACAACAAAAGGTATCAAAACAACAGACCCATGTAAAAATAACCAATAACCTACAGAAACTTTAAAAAAGCAAATTGTTTCTATCAGCATGAAACAAAGGCGATTATAGATGCCAGCTGATAAAATTCCACATCAGTTTTTTTTTGGCTTATTTTGGACAAATATCCAATATTTACTTCAGATTAGGGCATACTTCTGGATATAAGCAATCGAACTATTGAATGAGATTTGATTTATATTAGATTTGAAATTCAAGGTGAACTTTTTTTTTTGTTGGTAGTTTTGAATGAACTTTTGTTATCATTGACTGTATGCTGGAAAACCTCCAAGTCAGCAGTCTTTCACGTGATTGTGTAGAAAATGTCTGCATTTTATAAAAGATCTTTTGTTTTTCTAATTTGCTACTGATCCTCTTAAATTTAGATAAATCACTTTTGATACTATTGATATAATAAATCTGGAAAACAAACGATTTTTGCCCTTTTAATTAAGTAACCAATAACAAGCTAATTTACTTACTTACATTTTACTTACATTTTTCATATAGAATAAAACACATTCAATTTGTCCAAAGTGACTGGATGTGAATTAGTTAAGTGTGCAAATGGGGACACCTAGTGGCGGTTTTCCCTTATTACATCATCTGCTTTTCGATGAAGTAACGTTCAGTCAGGTTGTGCATGTTGCCAAATTAATCCATGTTACCTACTTTATCATTTACTGCAGGTCTAACTGTGTCCGAACCAAAACTGTCCTCTCTGGGTCTCTTATTTCGTGAAAGTGTGCAGGGCCCGCGCTCGTCCTGGAAACTTCCAGAAGGTGGCTCCTGCGACACATCCAATGCAAACTTTCCAGAGTCCCATAGCGAAACCTTGGGAAATAAATCAGATGCTTCATTATCGGAATAATGAGGCCTTTTTCGACATCGGCTGCCCAACAGAGTCAGTATGGACGGGGAACTCACACCCCCTGCTGAAGCCATGCTCTCTGGCTGCATGCCGACACAACAGAGTGGAGCAAGATGTCTTCTTTTAATGGGAGAGTCCAGCAGTAAAGGTTCTTCCGCGCGTCTCTTTGCCATAGAAAACTTATATGATAGAGTGAGTGGCACAAGGCAGCAAAATAAAAGCCCTGTCCTTCTGTTTAACACAAGTGCGCAGCGTGCACAACAAACCCGGTAGTGATGACGTACAGGAGTTAAAGAAAAAGAACCAATCGTGTAACAGCCGCGCTGCTTAAGGCCCGCCCACTTCCCCACATCTCTCGCTTTGGCGATGTTTTTTTTTTTTTTTAGAACTTTAATGACAATTGTTAAACAACACATATCTTAGGAAAAAATAACTTAATTTATAGAATAAACAGCTATGGGAAACCAAGCGTTTCTAATAGTAATTCAAAGTGATTTAAGATTTTTTTATTGTTTTTGCAAAATCAGTTTAGGTAGACAATTCTTTGCTAAAATGATTTTTTTTTTTAAATCTATTTAACATTTTGCACTGATTGGGAAATTTAAACGAGTTACTATAAGCATTTGCATTGCTTGAAAACTATGTTTAATTTTTTTTTTTTTTGAGATAATGTATAATTGTTATTTACAGTAGGAAAAAATATAATAAAATCGATATAGTTTGGAAAAGATCCTTTTTGATTTTGTTCATGACCGTATATCAATAAGGTAGCAGAAAGAGGAAGTTCCTCTAAGTGAGATGCCAACAATAGTAGAAGCTAGTGACACAGGAACTTATAACTGTGTCATTACATTTACACCCATACAAAGAGAGCACTTATAATCAAAATTGAAAATTGTGCGATGAAGCTCCAGAAATCTGTTTGCAAGAGAAATACTCCATTCAAACGTTTTTTTTTCTCAAAATGCTTGGCTTTATTTCAAAGAAAAAGATGAAAGCTTTACAACTTAAAAACAGAAACATGCAAATAAGCCAACTTAAGTACAAATAAATACGTTTCAAAATGTATAATTCAGTTGTAGAGGCACATGTGAATGGATACAAACTGGCAAGGTAAGTCGGGGTAATAGAAATAAGTTAAGAGTGTGTGATATAAAAGCCAAACAAAGTCAACTGCTTGGAAATCACAAAAAAACGGATTTAAAAACAAACCTACAAGAGGCTGTGGGTAACTCAATTACCTCTAACCTCATGAACGAACAATACTAAGCGATACAACATTTTTCAGAACTGATATTTTAGTCCCACAATACTTAATAAAAGCATACAGGCCAGTCATCAGTGTGAAGGTTTAAAAAAAAAAATAAACCAACATATTCAGTCATTTACCTATTTCCACACCTTCAACTGCTATAAATGAGATACCAGGGAAAGTGTCGGATGGAGAACTTTTTTTTTTATTAATATATTTTTTAATTTTATACGGATCAGCTCCATATTTTCCCCTCAGCCACTGCTTTGCAATACAGATCAGCTGACAAAAAGACTTTTCCATCACTTACATGGAAAGAAAAAAATGTTTAATATAAAGGAAAAACATATAGTGTGATGCATTTCTGCTTTGAATTTCGGTCAATACTCTGACATCATTAAAAATTCTTCTTTTCCACTCAGTTATAGCAAGAGAAACTCATACTGGCCCCATCCTGCTTTACTAAACCCACAGTTTCAGCTGTACTCAAGTGCTCTCTAAAAATCCATGAGGGTGGAAGCACTTTTCAGAGAGTGGCAATTTAAAAGTTGTATTGAAGGAGAAAAATATTGGCGGTTAAACCTCTTCAAATTGACCATGTTTGCTTAATGGTTTTACGTCACGTTAGCCTATTGCTACCCTCCCGCCTGGACGACTTGGCAGCTGGTGGAGAATTTAGCTGTTGCTCTGCTTCTTCTACACCATTAAACTGCAGCTCAGCAGGTTTTCGAGCAACAAAGAAGATGCAGTCATAAACGTATCTCAGCATTGAGCAGTCATTCTCAGTGTAAGTCGTCTGTAGCGACTCCTTCTCCGCCTGTAACAGGAATAGGACTGCTTTTAGAAACATAACGATGGTTTTCAAGAAAACCAGAATGCAATCAAATTAAAAATGATACCCATTTACCTCAAAGATGAAGCCATATTTTAACATCGCTGTCCTAATGTCCTCATAGCTAAGCTCAATAGAGAGCTCATTGGCTATATTCTCAAAGTGATACAGCAGTGGGCCTGAAAGACACAAGATGCAGAAACAAATTACTTGTACCTACGGTTCGTTAGCCACAGATCTAAGTTGAACTCAAACAAGCAAAAATGGAGACATACTTCATCTAAAAATGTATTTTTAAAAATATACCAAACATGCAGGTATATATATTTTTAACGGATCGCTATTACTTTGTACACAACTTTATCTTTGGGAAACTGTTAAGAGTTTCTAATTGTCACAGCTAAAGTACAAAGAAGACTGAAGCAGTATTAGACAATGCTAAGGGTGGACAGGTGAGACCCTTGTCTCCCCCAAAGGCACACAGTAATTCTGTCTTGGTGCACAGAGTTTCTCCTAAATAGACCAGAAAACCTCTGAAACCGTCTTTAAAACAGATCCGGTCAGAGTTTCAATGGAGATAATTTACATCTAAAACAACAGACAAAAGTTTGCATTTCATATGAAATGTGAAAAACAATTTTTAACATGATTTAAGGCATGAGGACTTTGTAATGAAACTGTTGACAAAACATAACTGTGCTGTAAGCTAAGGTCCTATTTAGTCAATTCTGGAAACCTTACAAGCAGAATGTGGTGCAAAAATCAAGAGTGTTATAGTCATGTACAAAATAAGGACAGTCGCTCAGAGTGCAAAGAAAAACCTTTTTTTTTTTTTTTTTTTTTACTTCACTCAGTAGCAAAAAGCTAACCTAAACATGTAGAAAACTAAACTATGAACCTCTACAAATACTACAGAATAAAGTTAAAATAAAAAGTTAAATAAAAAGTTAAAATAAAGCAACCCAAATAAGGTCGTCTGTCAACAACGGACTCATATTAAGTCATATTTTACCCACAATGCAAAATATAAATACCTTAAGTAGCGTAAATATACCAGCCTGGTGTTTTGGCATTGATCTTGTTCATTTGGGCTGGGATGAACATTTATTTATCCAGATTGATTTGTTAGAAAAAGAGCATATTTAACAGAAAATCAACTGTCAGCAATGATTCCAGTCTACCTTAGTTTTCTTTTAGTAGACTCACCAAGGTTGATCCATACTCCGCCGGGCTTAAGAATCTTCCAAATTGTGTCCACATACTCCAAGACGTTATTAGCAGTATCAATAAAGAAGCAGGTTGCCACACAGTCCCAGCATTCTGAGGGGAACACATGATATCACAAGGTTTATTGTTTACTGAACATTAATGCAAGAGAAAGCTACTCGTCAACCAAACATTGATAGATTCGTTTTCAGATGTTTAAATCAGAATGAATCCCTGTCAGCTTTAACATACCCGGTTCACTGTAAACCTCCACAAAGTCCCCCGCTACCATGGAGAAGTCTGTGTTCAGCGGCAGGCTCTGGGGGTTCACGTCCGGGAATCTGATCGGTCGAGTTTGGTCGGAGGATTTCTTGTTGTTGCTGAACTGGTGAATCCAGGGATACAGGGTCAGGGTATTCTCCGTTTCACATCTAGACAAACAGATTCAACTCATCAGTGAATAATAGCAATAACCAATGTCTCAACACTTTAAGGCCCTTTCAGAATCAAGATTGTTTGTACATTTAAGGCCTAATGAATATAAAACAGTACATTTATGAAATTAACTCAGGTTAAATACTAATTTGTCAACTTCATTTGGTGCCTTTTGGCTTCGGTCACTCACGTAGCTCCTAAAGTACTTTGTTTCAACCCCTTAGAGCAGTGATTCCTAACCTTTGTGGACTTGTGTACCCCTTGGCCATTTTATCATGAGTACCCCCTTAGCGTACGCGTTATTTTTCTTGTTATTTTCTCTCCGAAGCTAACGGCAGCCAGGGCTAACCACAGCCCGTCTGCAGCGGCCCTCGCTCGGCATAGTCGTGTGTGAAAGACCGCTGCCTCTGATGGCGATTTTTGACTCAGCTTGGGAATCAGTTTTGGAAGGATTAGACTTGGGGGTTTCATTAAAACGTGAACAGGAAGAGGCTCTACGCTTATTCATTTTTAAGAGGAACATATTCGCAGTTTTAATGACAGGCTGTTTGTTTACACTCCCCCACCAGATTCCTGTCACGCTTCCTACGTCACAGTCAGTTGCGATTATTGGTCAGAGCGTTGGCCAATAGGCACAGACAGCGGTTTGAAAAACAATGGGTTGTTCTCATCCACGATCTTCCGATATCTCATCGGGGCCAGACTAAATTACACATTTAATCTCACGTTTAGTCTGGTTTATCAGGCTAGTTTAAGGGTTAAATGTTCAAAAGAATCGTAACTGTTAACTGGCTTCGAGCGAATCAATCAGTCAGTCTCAAAGATTGTTGCTCGTCCTCCTCGCCCAGAATTCCTGACCATTTATAAATTCAAATAGATAGAGGGGGTTTCCTAGTTTATGCTAACATAATCCTCTTGTTGCAGCCAGGTTTCTGTCAGACAACATAAATGAGATATCAGATCAAGTCATTAACATTTAAAGAGAAATGTCTTACAAACCCCATTTCAATTTTTTCTTAATTGGAGTCTTTTTAATTTTCATTAGATTATCGTGATTTTGACTGTAAGCAAGACATTGTCTGGATAGAGTAATGGGTAGTTAACAGTAGTGAAGCTGTACTGCAGAGAAGTGTGTCTAACTATGATTCTGCTTGCTGGCCTGAATTATTAGATTAAATCGTCTCAGTAAAGTACCTTGAAATTATATGTGATGTGAATTAAGGCTATATAAAGAATGTGAATTGAGATTGAACCAATTTCAAATAAAAGCCCAACTCTGATCACTGAAGCTAATTTCCATGCTTTACCTGTTGAGAACAAAGTTGGAGGAGAAAAGCATGAAGAAGCTCCATTCGTTGCCCTGGCATGCATACCCCAGCCGAGCTATCTCCCAAGCAAGTCGACCAAGCCCCGCACCAGGAATCAGCACGCTCACCTTAGACACATCACTGATATAATAAAACGCAAAACAATGCACACATCACATAGAAAACACGTGACTTTTTTTTTTTAAACATGGTTTGTGAAAACCTAATTAGACTGTAGTTCAATAGATGTGTTGTAGTTTAAATGTCATGCATTTAGCTGTAAAAGTGAGCAGCTACAATCCCTACCACTGGTCACTTGGGAAGAGCCTCTGGATCTCTTGGATGATGGGTTTGTAGCAAGTGTCCCTCTCAGCCTTTCCTACTTCACTCCAGTCTCTGACAAACTGCTTTATGGTGGATTTCAGTTTGTCCATGTCAAAAGTAGAGGATGGGCGTGTCTTTCTCGGATCCTCCTAAAATCATAAAGCGGAAACAGCTGAACAAGACTTTCAGCAGACAGCACAATTAATATATAATGACATTCCAATGAGGAGAGAGTAATTGTGCTTTTAAATGTAAATAAAACTGCTAACCAGAAAAAATATTTAGGCAGAAGTTATCAAGAACAATTACTTCTGTAACCCTTTATACATTACCAAAACCTTTAATCGAAACAGAAATAAGCTACGGTACAAGGTTTTGTTCAGATACATCTTTAATTTCTATTAAAAAATAAATGGCTCATTTATGTTGTGTCAAAGGTTGTTCAAGTACAACAGAGCAATGTTTTAAGGTTTTTCCAGGTTCCCCTTCTACAGAAAAGGCTGATGAATACAAACTGAAGATACAAAAAAACAGAGACACAGGTTAGCCCGAGTTTCAGTGGTCATGCAGGAGGACATCAAGTGATATCAGCGAACATATAGTTTTTTTTACTTGCATTTTTTATAAAGGTAAGAAGATTGTTTAGATTAGATTTTGTTCATCTGATCTATGATGGTAGTTAGAAGCACCTTGATGCTCTATCTGTTCTGTTCTTTTCCCTGAAAAGAGATCAATCGGGACAAACTTTAAATAACATCACTTATCACTCATCACTTATATGTATTAAATAACCAGGAGACATGACAACAGATTCTGATAGAAATTGTAATCTAACTCAGATAAGAGAAATTGCTTAGAATGTACAGAAGGCAGATGCTCACCTCTCAGGAAGTGGCCCCGATTAACAGTTAAAAAGACATTTTATACATCTCCAGTCTGCCACTTCATCTTATTTTACATCATATATGTTAGCAGATGATTAGACATCCATATTACACTTCATTCTTAGCTGAAGGACACCGCTCTCATTCCATTTCCAAATCTTTGCCACGTACAGAATGAAGATTATAACTGTATATCCAGACAGAGGAACTATCCTAATTAGATTAAAACATCAGTTCTGACACGCAACAGGCAGCCAATACCAAGGTGTAATAAACTGACACATCTCCAATGATAATTATTCTAACAGTAATGAACTAAATCGAAAACAGAATCAAATCAAGCTTAGACTAAAATCAGAAAGAAACCAGGCCAAAAATTCCTCTATGCCAGAACTGAAGCATTGTCTGAGATATAGACAAAGACTTAGGCTAAGCCAGGATAAAGCCAGACTCAACAAATGTCTGCACTATGGCTCCATATACACACATGAATATATAAGATAGAGAGCGCGACAGAGAGAAAGTATATGCTGTACATTAGGGGTCTTTAACGATTTCCAGGCCGAGGATCCCCAAACTAAAGGCGTGATGGATTGGGGACCCCCTAATTATATATATTGTATGAAATTGTGTTATAAACTGGTCCTATAGTCTCTCTACTACATATAGAGTCATGTAACGAAAGTAATTTCACGCTTAAAGTATTTCTGAGTAGGATTCCTGGTTGATGGGACAGGTGTTGTGTATGAAACAGTGCCCAGCTTGAAAGAGCTCCTGTGTGTCACTGAATGTTTGCATTGATGACTGAAACACATCTTCTGCCTCCATTTATATGTTTACTACAGTGTGTTGAGTTCATGTTAATGTGTATTTAAAGATATTTCAATTAGTGGAAAAAATTGCAGGGGGGAATATAAAAAAAACAAAAAACTAATCAATCAAAACTTTTGCGACTCCCATGCAGTACCTCCGTGGACCCCCTGTTGAAGACCTCCGCTGTACATTTTGGAAATAACACAGTTTTCAGGGCCATCTCATGAGGTTATTGCAGGTCAGCCAGCTTATAAAATAATGGAGTGTTGCAGATTGGGCTCTATCTCTACACCTGGATGGATTTCAAACTGACATCTGCACGCCCTTTAGGACTATGTAAACATAGGAAGCTAAGGAATGCACTAGAGATACTTTATGTGACATTATGCTTTACCACCTTAAATTCAATCAAATCAGATAGAATAGAAAATCCCTTTATTGTCCCACAATGGGGAAATTCTGATATTACAATAGCAAAATATTATAATAAAAAGTGTAAAAGAATAAAACCTTGAGAAAAATAAATATATAGTTGTGGACATTTTTACAGTGATGGATATTGAAAATAGCAGCAACATGAGAGATGTGCAAAATGACAGCAGCATGTTATTTAACTGTCTAAGGTAGGAACTGTGTAAAAATCAGCATGAATGTAACAGCTGATTGAGGTTGTTGGGGACAGTGATGGTTATAATGATCACCATTGAACAATAACCATCCAAAACTGAAAAGCTTACCCTTTCCCCATACTCCACGTTCTCAAACATGTGAAGGCTGTTGTGAACGATAGCCTCCAGGACATCCTGGTTGTGTTCGGCGCACTGCATGATCCGACCAAGGTTGGCCAGAACACCGGGTAGCATCGTTTGGTGCCTTTGCGACAGGCTGTAAAACTGACGCTCAGCCCGTTTGACCTGCTCTTGGACATGAAACCTGATGGAAGGAAAATAAAAACCTCACTAAGTGCTCAAAGACTAAACTTCTTTAACGACAGACATTTTTTTTTAGCATAGTTCCCGTGTCCTTGTTAGCAAAACAACACCAATACCACGACGAATCGACACAAAAACAAAGCTTCGTGGCTCGTCTTTTACTTTGTAGATTCTGTTTGTAGCACCTGTAAGACCGAAATGCATCGATTATTCTCCAGAAATGCTGCCGCTCCAGCTTGGCCTCCTCCTCTGGGCTGTATTTCTTCCTTTCTTTGTGAAAATGTGCTCCAGTTAGCGGCTCCTTAGCTGATGGTTCCGCCATGTTTGAAACTAACCGACGGCCATCCAATCACAGCTCCACTAACTTCTTCTTCTTCTTCTTATACGTAGAGATGATTTGGCGGTTGGCAAAAAACAAAAGTGGAGCACTACCGCCACCTACCGCTATGGATTGGGATACAGCCTTAGTGTAATTCAATTCTACTTAATTGATCACTATCTCAAATTATTTTAATCTAATTTGTTTGCTTAATGTATAATGTGTAATTACGTATTAATACCCTGTGCAATAAACAGTTTCTTTATATTCAATACTTAGACAGATTTATTTTGTCATTAAATTTAATTTAAAATAGCTCTAGACAATTTCATTTTTTAAACTGCAACCTTTAAAACAGTAATAAATACATACAAATTGTAATATAAACATATGACTGTATATTTGCAGTGCTAACATAAATGTTTTTTTTATATATTTTTAATACCTAATTCAATAGTTATATAAATACACATCTATATAAATACCAATGTAAATACCCTGTGCAATAACCCTGTATAATAATCCTGCTTTTTTAAAATTTGCTGTCATATAAATATATGCATGTATGTATTTTTATGAACTCAGCCCCATTGTGTATATTTTTGAATAAAACTAACTGATGAAATATTTATCTTCTGCACATTCAAGGTATTTTACACATGCATTCATTTTACAAGATAAAACCAGCTTCACATCAAGAATTTTTTAGAATATAATGTTAACCTTAAAATGACTGAATATGGGTTGCTAGTTTTAACACAATTTAAAGGAAGGCAAGAGTTATGGTTTAGTCCTGCACAAAAATTTAACTCAACTGTTGATGGCTTTCATATGAACAGAGCAAAACATTGGTTTAAATATAAAAAAAAAATATATTTATTTTATTGCAATCTGTCCTAATGATGGGGGAAATATGCTGTATTTTGGTCAGACAGAAAAATAATAACATCTGCCAATTCAATTAAAGTTTATCAGGCTTCAAAGCTCCTTGGATATTGTACTTTATGCATGAGTAATTTGGTGTATGAATGAGTGAAAATCTGTTTCTGTGAAGATCTTTAAAATCCTCATAGTCCATATTCTGCTTTAAAACTAGTATACAGGCAATTTACCACATTATTTTAAGTGCTTGCTACGTATTATTTTTAGTATATATTTTTTTCTTCAATGGATCACATTGGGGGCTAATGTAATATACCTACTTAACTAAAAAACAAAAACAAAACAAAAAACAAGTGTGGTTTGCTGCCATCTAGTGGGAAGATTATATAGTACACGTGTTAAAGGTTTAATACTTCCTAAATTAAATGTCTTGAAACTTTATGCATTTTCTATAAAGAGAGTAACTTGAATAATAAAAAAGGTTATATTTGCTATAATGATCTAATCTCAATTCACTAACTTGCAAAGTATAGACCTTCCTGTTGTCTGATGGTCTTTTATGAAGAGTCCTGTTCTTCACCTCAGAGAATGAAGGAAATTTATTTAAAAAAAATGTCATCCAAAATTCACAAGACTCTTTTCATCCGGCTCATTGACATGGCTCCACTCTACTCTTTGCTTTTCAGAACCGTATGAGTTGCCAGGCAGAGAAGTAATCCTACCTGGTAAAATGGACTTTCCCTCCAACACATACAGAAATTTAAAGCAAATAAAGCGGACTGGAATTTCAATATCAAATGGATAACAAATATAGAAACGTAACTGAGTAAAACAGCACCAAATGTAAAAATTAAGTTAATACTTGCTTGGTGCTATTTGGTCATGTCTCTCGGCATGACCACCATTTAGATCCCTTCATAATTAAACAAAAATACCCTCTCTGGAGTACAGTTTAAAAGACGTATTTCTGGGGCAGATGGTCATACTTAGGTCCAAATTAAAAAACAAGCCATAAAAAGTGTCTCAAAGCTGTAGTATACGTCATTATTTTGTGGCGGACATTAAAATCTAGTATGGACAAAAGGTTACCTATCTGGAAAACCTTTGTGGGGGTTTTCTAGCAGAAAATTCGATTTTATTTGGTCAGAATCTGAGACTTTTGAACAGACGACAGGTGAATTGTAAAAACGTTCTGATAATGAGTCAAAATATCTTAAAATAAGTGTATTTACCCCTTCAATGGAATCAGCCTTTTTACCCTTAAAATAAGATAATTAGATATTATGCACTTGAAATAAGAGACTACAGTTTTTCTCATTTTAAATGTAAATACCTTGTTTCATTGGCAAAGTGTCTCACTTACGTCATCAATTAAAGAAAAAATGCACTTATTTTAAGAAAAAATTACCTACTTAGAATTACATTTTTGTGCATTGTGATTTGTTTCAATATTACCTGTGTAAATCTTTGATTTACCTCAGATTGTCCGATTATTCCAGGGTTTATTTAAATAGTTAAAATTTGTGTTTCTTGAACTGCAGGAAATTGTATACTATATTGAAATTAGGATAATGGCATAAAGGAAATAATGTCTTCTTTACCCAGAAGATTATTCATAGACTGGATCAACACCAAGGTTCACAAACAGGCCTTCTGCATGTCTTTATGTCACAGAAGAGGATTGTTACTAATTACTTTGCTTTCATTTTGGGATTTGAAACTGTTTTCGATGCCTGTACTAAAAAAATTTTTTTTTAAATCTATCTAAAATGCTCATTTTAATCATTATGTTTCTGCTATCTCTTCTCTGCAAATATTTAGTCCAGACTAGTAGAAGTGAACAGATCTGAGACGATGGGGCTTAAATGAAAGCTTGGTTCCTTATGGTTTAATGATGTTTGCCAAAGAGCTGCTTGTCCAGTTGGATGAGCTGTCGGAGGAAACCTCGATTCGGGATCACACCCCGATTGTCCTTCACAGCACAAATAGCCTCCACTAGAGTCAGCTTCTGCTTCAGCATGAGGTAAGCCAGCACCAGAGTGGCAGAGCGACTGACGCCAACATGGCAGTGTACCAGAACTTTGCCTGAAAATCAGAGAGAAACATGAGATTTAAATATATTCTTCTTAAACAGAGTGTAAATGTGTCCAAGTTAATCTATTTTCTCTGCCAGTCTAACCTCCTGCGTTTAGTCCTCTGTGGATAAAGTCTGCAGCAGCCTGAAAGTTGGTGCTCATGTCATAGTTGCAGGAGTCATGTGCTTCTACGCCCATGTAGGTGATCTTCAGTCCCTCATATATGCCTGGCTGCCCTCTCCTTTTACTGTGAGCTGCATTCAGGACATGAGTGAAGCGATGTTTCGATAGATCTGCCTGGTTTTCTGCACTCAATCTTAAAAACACAACCAAATTGGAGACAAAGTTTCAGCACTGCCAAAACTCATTTAAAAATACATATAAAAAGTTCTTAAAATGAACATATTTGCCCTTAAATTGATAGAGATGATCTGGCAGAAGAATTAATGTTTTTGCCCATAAGATAATTCAATATTATGAACCTGAAATGCTTATTTTAAACATTTTATTCTAAAGTATTTATGTACTGAGTAGCCTGACTAACAACATTTAATAACTTTTCAGGCAGACAAAAAATATTTATGTATATATGTGCAAATGTTAATATTATAAACAAAATAAAATAAAAACAATAAAAGTTGAATTGCATTGCTAAATGAATTCTAGAATAAATAATTTTTCCTTTTTTTATTTGTGAAACCTTTATCATTCATAGAAAGGCTTGTTAAACTCTTTAGTACCTATTTTGTTAAATATTATAGAAATGCATGCTGCTCCATCAATTCTAGTTTTTCCTAAATTCTAATGTTTACTTTTTTTTCAGGATCCATGTTATTTGAAGCAGATCTCTTTTGTCAGGATAAAAGTTACCATCATCACTGTAAAGTCACAAGGTTAGGATAATAAGAACGAAAAGCGTACATACAGTGCTGGCCAAAAGTATTGGCACCCCTGCAATTCTGTCAAAGAATACTCAATTTCTGCCAGAAAATGTTTGCTATTACTAATACTTTGGTATTAATATATCCATTTATTTTGTACAAAAAAATCACAAATAGAAATTGGCAAAAAGCCAAATTGCATATAATTGCACACTCAACACGACAAAAGGGGGCAGACAACAGTATTGGCAGCCTTTGAAAAATCCTGTGATGCTTCTCTAATTTGTGTAATTAACAGCCCCTTTTACTTACATGTGGCACATTACAGGTGGTGGCAATAACTAAATCACGCTTGCAGTCAAAATGTAATCAAGTGGACTAAACCTCAGTCCCGTGTCTTTATGTGAAGCACACTGAGCATGGAGAAAAGAAAGAAGACCAAAGAACTGTCCGAGGACTTGAGAAACAAAATTGTGAGGAAGCATTGGCAATCTAATGGCCAAGACCTCAACGTCCATGGCAAACCTCCCTAGATGTGGACAGAAGTGAAAAAAAATGAGAAATTTCAGAAAAAAATTGTGCGGATGGTGGATAAAACTCGACTTACATCCAAACAAGTTCATGCTATCCTGCAGTCTGAGGCTACAACAGTGAACTGAAAAAAAAAAAAAACAATCTAGAAATAAGAAAAAAATTCTTAAAATAAGTGTATTTACCCTTACTTTGAGTAGGTAAATGAGTTGATCTGTCATTTTTGCCCTTAAAGTAAAATATTTAGATATTGCATTTGAAATATGAGGCTGCAGTTGTTCTTTTCTTATTTTAAATGTAAATTATCTCATTCCATTGGCAAATGGAATGAGTATTTTTACTCTTAAAATAAGATATTTAGATAATATCCACTTGAAATAAGACAATGCAATTGTTTTTTTTTCTCATTTTAAGTATAAGGGTTCCTGTTCCATTTGCAAAATGTCTCTTTTACCTCCTCAATCCAAGAACAAAAGCACTTATTTTAAGAAAAAATGGCTTGACTGTATTTGGATTTTTTTCCTGTGTAAATTATCAGTTGGCGTCTGAATGAATAGGGACTCTATGGTAGGATATCCAGGAGGACTCCATTTCTAACCCAGACATAAAAGACAAGATGGAGTTGCCAAAAATTTACCGATGTTCTCTGGTTAGATGAGACAAAAGTAGAGCTTTTCGGGAAAAGACATCAACATTTAACAGGAGAAAAAAAACCCAAGGCCTTAAAAGAAAGGAACACCGCTCCTACAGTAAAACATGGTAGAGGTTCCCTGATGTTTTTGGGTTGCTTTTCTGCCACTGGCACTGGATTGCTTGACAGTGTGCGTGGCATTTTGACGTCTGAATAACTAATTTTGCAGCGCATTGTAGGGCCCAGTGTGAAAACGCCGGGTCTGCCTCAGAGGTTCTGGTTTTTCCAGCAGGACATTGACCCAAAACACTTCAGATAGCACAGAAAAGTGATTTGAGAGTAAGCACTGGAGACTTCTAAAGTGGCCAGCAGTGAGTCCAGCCCTGAATCCCATACAACACCTGAGAGAAGATCTCAGGGACCTGGAGCAGTTTGCCAAAGAAGAATGGTCTACAATTCAAACAAGAGCATTGTAAGAAACACATTGATGTGTACCAGAAGCAGTTGTTTAGTTATTCTGTTTGAGTTTTGAGGGAAATAATTGATTAATTAAATTCTCTTTTGACTTTTTTTATTGTAAGCAAAATAAATGAATAGATTAATAACAAAGCATTTGCAATCATTTTCTGGAAGAAACTGTGCATCTGACAGAATTGCAGGGGTGCTCATTCTTTTAGCTAGCACTGTAGATATGTCTACATCAAGAAAAAGGCCGCTCTTAAAGTGGACATAGGCCTGTAATGCAAGCAGTATAACATTTGGATTGGACATTAAACGTCCCATATTATGCAAAATTCCCATTACAAAGCTTTCGTAACTTTCGTGTCCTGAAGCCCGTGTATGAGGTTCCCAAATAAAAATTTTTTTTAAATAATAATAATAATAATACATTTTATTTAAAAAGGCACCTTTCTGGACACTCAAGGTCACTGTACAAAAACATAAAAAGTGTCATAAAAAATAAAAATAATAATAATAAATAATAATTATAAAGACATTTAAAAACATTTAAAAAAATACAGAGGCTGTGACAGTAAAATTGATATTTTTAAAGAGAATAAGCAGTCTTGAACAGATGGGTTTTGAGTTGCATTTTAAAATGGAGAATTGAGTCCGTATTTCGAAGTTGGGGTGGTAGAGAGTTCCTCTATTATTACCTATCTCCATCTCTTACCTGATGAGTGTGCTCAAAATTTGGGCTTATCTCCTCTTATGATGTCATAAAGGGAAATAAGCTGTAACGGCCCATCGGTCAAGCTACTGCCTTCATCTTATGTATCTTTCCATGCTCCTAGGCTATCTTTATGAACTCTGAAATCCAGTGGAAGACTAAATAAGAAGAATTGTGGTAAAAGGCTGTCTGCCTAATCTGGGAGGAATTTTCCTGCACAAATGGCAAAAACATGCTCTGAGGGCCTCATAGTTAATATTTTTCTAATATCAAATTTAGAATAATAAGGGGTGTTAAAATAATGACACAGCCTATCAGAAAGGCAGCAACTTGGTGTGACACAGTAAGAACCTAAAGAACCTGATTTTCAGGGCTTATCTCCATTATTTTGATGTAAAAAAAATCTGCATTTCACTCTAATAAGCTCAATTAAAAAAACGTTTAAGCCCTGTTTTGAACATGTTCTGTAAGAAAAAGTGTTATTTATACTGAGTTCTAATTCAGCAGCTGCGTCCTGCAAAGGTCAGATTCGTCGGCCAATTAGTTCATAGCGGGGTGCCGTGACCTGTTTGGATTAGAAGACTCCTCTTTATGCCAACTAATACACCCTTCTTTTCGCCTGTTTGGAAGGACAGGTATGGTGTGTCCTACGTAGCCTTGGGTATCCCATGATTCATTGCGAGTCCAAGCAAGCTTTCTGCTCCGTTTTCAGAGGTAAAAGGGAAATGGCGCCAAACAGTGGTAAATATAGTAAGCTCAGTTTTATATAATACAAGTATGTGAATTGTTGTGTCTGAAATGAATGGAAATAACAGTTTTAAATGGTGAGCCACATATTTGGTGGGTAATATTTGATTTATTGTAAGGTTTTATGTTTCCCTGTGCAAATTGGTTTGACTGATATTTAAGCTCAGATCTCTATGTCTGCAGCGTGGGGACTATAAATCTGATATTTGTGATGACGGTACTGCTGCTGAAAATGTTATTAAGACACAGAACAACAGTGAGAAGTTTGGCATCCATTCTTTTCCTGCTTTATGTGTCGACTGTCACTGTTGCTAGGCAACACAGTGTACGCTGAGTGAGGGGCATTGAACGCCGGAGAAGGCTGGACCTGTATGAATCCATAGCGAAACTCTTTCGTCCTCCTTACTTTCACGCCCCTAAAAGGACCCAGTACAAGTAGAACAGGTCCTTGCAGGACGCAGCTGCTGAAATCGAACACAGCCTTAGAGTGTTACTGAAAGAGGCGAAGAGAACTGGGAATAACCAAAGGCGCCTTCAGGGTGCAGTAACACACATCACCAACCGGTATTTAGAATAAGCATCATGTCCCCTCCAGTAACAACTTTTAATGTTTACTGTATACTAAACTAAGTGCTAAAAGCCAAAAAAATCTTCAGTAGAATCTAAAAGTGGACAAAATTTTATGTAGATGCAAGAAGACTAATTTTAACAAAGTTTTTTAGTTGCATCATTGTTTAAAACAAGTTTGTTTTCCATTCATTAAACCTTTCACTCCAATATAAAAGCTAGATGAGTTTCTCTTCCTATTACTACTTTTTAGCTGTATTATCTTTTAAAGGCACCTGGATGTGAAAACCTGGCAGAATACTTTGGCTAACCATTTATTTTTTATAAGCCAGATAAATTAAACGTGCAATACTTTGAAACTGACTGTCTGATATGTAGACCATGTGAAGTATGCTAAAGGGAAACCAACCAAGACTAGAGTATGCTTTCATGGCTTGACAAGGATTATGTTACTCATTTCCTTTTTAAAACTAATTTACGATCCATTTCGGTTTCACGCACAACTTTATACATATTTCAAAGTAGTTAAAAAAAATAAAAGATGCTTGTGCAGTTAAAAAGGAAAAAAAACTGGAGAAAAAGATGAAATTCTTACTGATCGCCAATGTAAAGCCTCGGCCAAACCTCGTCTGCATGGCTGATGATGGCTTTGCCTGTAAACAGGAGTCTCTCCAGCTCGAACACCGCCAAACCAGGTGAACTAAGATCAATCTCCACTTTCCGACACGGTCGCTCATCATTCCAGGAAGCTGGAAGCTTGGATTTGTATGACATTGCTGCTTCCTCTCACAACTCAGCTAAATTTCAAATGAGGAAAAGTTGATCCACTAAAATAAAATGAGAAGTAGATATTGCTTTTTTTTTTTTAAAAAAAACAGCTTTAAGACTCGGTGGAATCCTCTGCAGCCACTCTGACGAACACAACACACCGAACAACACCGGGGATTTTAGTCTCAAGCCTCTGATTTACTCACAGAAACACCGGATCTCTGTGTTGTAAGGACATTTGACCCTTACACTGAATCTAGGCTGCATGCCTCGAGCCTTCAGGGGTTTGAGTTATGCTTTTAAATTAAAATAGCAGCCTATTTAAAGATGCGAACACTGGCTGGAAGAGTGTGGCCCCAGGGCAAGTTTCCATTGGATGGAAGAAAGGACAATTCAGTTTTGTATGCCACAGAATAGCTGCTTTTCCAAGAAAATACATCAATGTAGTTTAGAGTTTTAAAGAGTGACTTAATAAGGAAACTATTAAAAATGAATTTTTTTTGCTGACTAATATTAGTCTCCATTAGACAAAGATTTCCATCTTGCATCTTGTGTTGGAAACAATATATATCAACCAAAATAATGCAAAAAAAAAAAGTTGTTTTCCATGCAAACCTTTTGTTTGTTTTTAATATTTTTCTTTCTGATCATATATATGTATAAAAAAAAAATCACCATAACAAATATGGCACTTTTTTCTTTTTGGAAAAAAAAAAAAAAAAAAAAAAAAAAAAAAAAAAAAAAAAAAAAAAAAGGGAAAAGCGATGCACATACGCAGCTTAAACAAGAATGTGT